GAGAAAGGAAGAATCTGTCAATACGAGTAGCCACTGGGTTAATTCTGCCATCAGACCATGTGTACAAGCCATTCTTCATTGGGACGTCAACTAGATTCAAATTATCTATCAACAAGTTAAAATTCCGCATACTCCTCGTCACTCTGCCTCCACTAGATTTATCTTCCAGCCGTCTAACCACGTTAAAATCACCCCCCACACACCAGCGGTCTGCACAAAGACCATTTAGGTCCAAGATTTCTTGCCAAAAATCATCTCTGGCTTTGTAAGTTGAGGGCCCATAGACACCTGTAATCCAACCAACAAAGCTATTTTTGAAAATAACCCGAATAGAGACAGAGAACGTACCTAAAACCGTCTCTTCCACCTGAACTGAATTCTGGTTCCACATAATGATCACGCCCCCCGCCAATCCTTCTGCATTCAGCTCGGACCAGCCAATGTGTCTCGAGCTCCAGATGGATTTCACTAAACTCCTGTCTATCGTGTTGGGGCTATTTTTGACTAAAAGGGACTTCACCAGCACTCTTTTGGAGGGAGAGTCGAGGCCTCTAACGTTCCAGGAGATAACTTTCATTCAGAAACCATCAGTCGCTCAGATTCATCTACATCCTTTGCCTCTAATTCTCTCTCCATGGCCCTAAGAAGGTTCGTGATCTCTCTGGATTTTTTCTTGGTGGACACGCTACCTTTGGCAGAAATCGGTCTAATGCACATCTTACACTCCCATAGAGATCGAACCAACTTTCTAGAGAAAGGAAACTTGTCTGAAACTTCATCATCATCCTCAGAAACTTCCTCCTCCGAGGCCTGAATAGACTGACCCGAACCATTCTGTTCTATAATTCTAAGTGCCAACGGAGAGCTGCCCTCCCCTTCCTTTTCCGTTGTCCTGTTCATTTCTACATCATCTACCCTTCCATTCTGATTTTCCTCTTCTTGAAAACAAACAAAGTAGCCCTCAGGTAAATTTTCTTGGGATTCAACCAGAGGGGTTGCCTCCACAAAAACTTCCTCTTCACTGCTTATGCTGAAAACAGACCTGTCTTACCCATCTTCTTTCCGTTCAGCCTCCTTCTTTTTGTCATTTCCTTTGCTTTGTAAAAGGTCCGTAGAATGGATTTTGCCATTTTTGTGAAAGAGGCGGGTTTGATTTCTTTTAGAAAAGGACACTGCCTTATCTTTTCCTTTTGCTCCTTTCAAATCGCCTTGGGAAGCGGGAAAAGTCTGAGTGTTGGACTTTGTCATCCTTACACGGTACCACAATGTCCTTTTGTTTGTCTTCCTCCAAAGTGGGGCCCATTACCTCTTTATCCTTATTTTGAAAGGACATACTAACTTCTGGATGCTGCAAAAAGGAACCTACTTCTAGGTGTTCCTCCGGCGGGAAAGGGTACCTTATAGTAACCACTGGGTAATGGCAACCATCTTCTATTCTCCAGCGGTCTGCGGCATTGAAATCTGGACTCTCAAAACCTTGGTAGAACACCCTTGCTGCCTCCGGCAAAAAACCTCCATGAATGGCAACATCTTTTCCGGCGAGCCACTTACTTTCTTCATAAGGAACTACTTTGGCCTGAAAGCAATGAGGGCCGTCGACCAAGCAAATCTCAGCCGGAATAAAACCACAGTAGTTTCCTTTGACTTTGATTGCCACATCGAAACATTCAATAAAGCATGAGTTGTTGTCGTCGTAATCAAGGAAACCCCCCARGGCGTTTCCTACTGCCTTGAAAGTGGCTAGGCTCCATAAGTGTAGAGGAATGTTTCTCACCTTCACCCAACTACCATACGAAGGAAACAAAAAATCTCTACCATGGATTGTGGGRTTCCATTCTTCAACTTTGACWGTTAAGGGGCCGAAAGTGACCCACCCTTTATTCGACAGAAGAAGACRAGCCATCTCTGTAGAGGGGCATTTAAGGAGGGCCTTGTCAGCTTGGAAGGGATTAAACAACTCTCTGTTTGTTCTTTAATGACATTCACAATACGGCTCCAATCGTCATGGAAATTCCTACGAGTGAGGATAAGTGTCTCTTCCCAATTCAAAGGTCGGACTTCCATTCCTGCAGCCCCTTTTCTTTGTTGTTTCCTCCATTCAATTTCAGTTTTCAGCTTCAAAGATGCATCCCTCTCTTTCTGCTTCGTTTTCACTATGTTGCAAAGGAAAGATTTTCTCTACTAAAGAGCTTACTAGAGGAAGAAGAGGCAGACACTGGACTCACCTTAGCAGAACTCACCTTAACTGTAGAAGCGGTGGCCATCTCATTTTTTCCATTCAAGAAATCGATGATCAAGGTACTGAAAAGCTTCCATCCTTTGCAATCTTCGTCCGAGGGGATGACTAAATTTATTTTCCCTCCCGAGCTCTGAACCTTTGTCACTTCTAAAAACCTCCCTCTTTTGTTTGTCGTTTTCTGTAGCCAGAGAAAACCACCATTGCAATTCGTCTTTCTGAAGAACTTTTGTGTTTGTGGGGCAAGGAGTAAGTCTTCCACACTGTCGGCTATCCAGACCGCCGCTACCGCTTCCACTGTGATCTCAAAGAGTCTTCGACCATGTTTTTCAACAAATCTTACAAAGTTCCCATTCTTTTTCCTATCGTATTCACAAGAGAAAACCTTGTTCTCAATCCTTACCGAAGGCTTTCCCATCGAAAAGACCATTAAAATGCAACATCTTCTGGCACGGCGGTGAGGGAGGAGAGAAGGGGGGGCTGGGGAAGAGGCATAGTAGAGAGGATTTTTTATATCACAACTCCACCTTTCTCAATTCATACAAAAAGATGATCATTGAATTGACTTTTTGGTATCCGTAAGACTATGATGAAGACAAAACTTGGATAAACACAACCGTGGTTCTTTTTTCTCCAAGGTAACTAAGGGATATCTTGCTCTGTTCTTTCTAAAGTGAATTGGGATCATCTGAAAAACACCAAAGCCATTTTGTAAGAAGAGCCTGACTCCTTTCTCAAGTCTTCACGATATAGAGACCACCAAGCAAAAAGGGAAGAGACACAAGCTTCAAAGTTATCAAGTTACAACTGCATTCATGTTAGCACCTTCCCAAAGAAAATTCTTGGTGCATTCGTCCATATTATACAGAATAACCTTATCGAAGACCAAGAGATAATAAGAAGATTGCTTGGATCAAAGCAAGGTGGTCCCCCTTTTGATATGGGATCCATTCTCCATTTAGCAAGCATGAGACCAACCTTCTCCACCAAGGGGTTCCAAAATTCCAGACTTTGGCTTACCACTTAAAGGTGTGCCCGAATAAACCATAGGAAAGGAGCCTTTAGAGCAGCCCAAATTTTAGCAACTTTCTAAAGGAAAAATTCCTCCTAATCAATGTTGATGCTAACCACATTAGGCCTGATTTAATTTTACTACATACTGTTGTAGAAACAGTCTGGAATTCTAGCTTACATTTCTTCTGAATAAATGTATGTTACAGCAACTTGCAGATTCAACCAACTAGCATTGTTTCTAAGTTTTCTCTCGATCTATAGAACATGAAACTATTCGTATTTATTGATACCAAACATTAGTCAGAAAAGTTATACTTCTAAGATACATAATATGATCCAACAGTTGGCATAGCCTTTTCTCTTTCAGTTTGATTAGTACAAAAGCAATCAAGAGAGGGGGAATTTTGCGTCCACCACAATTTCTTTCTTTAGATGACTAAGCCAATTTGGGGGCAGAGTTCAAAATAAAAGCAGATGAAATTTTTTTCATTTCATAGATTTTCATTGTTGCTTTCTGGTCTAGATCAGAACCCCACCCCACATAATTATAGGGCAATAAATCCTTTGTTCCCTATATTGTCTCATAGAGTCAAAAGATTCTTCATGATAACATGGCCATAGATAATTTCATTTATAGAAAAAGAAATTTCTAATTTTATCGTGCTTTCCCCTCCACATGTATAAAGTGAAGATTCTTACACATTCTTTGATTATCACCTCATCCTTTCTACTGAAGTTTGTATTCCATGGGACATGGTACACACCTGTATTTTCCCATCACAATTTCTTCAGACAAACTAGGCAGTTATGCTGTGCAATTATCCCCCTAACGAAGATACAAGCCGAGTTACTGCCCAAAGCTCTAGCTCACCTTCATCATAGCAGTCGGTAGTCATAACCACAACCTCTAGTTCAGTCACTAAGCTGTATGCACTTTAGATGCATGGATGTTAAAGTTAATTGATTAAGGTAATCTCTCCCCATCACCCTTCACGTCTCCAAGTAGTTAAAATGTTTCCAAATAAGAAATCAAACTACTTTTTGGGAAAAGATTAAGAGGGATCTAAAAGGTATTCAGGCCTTAACATAGCAGAGATTTTTCAAAGGAAACTACATTCTCCGTCTTTATCGCCTTCAGTTTGTGTATCATGTGTTGGGGAATAGTGAATGTCAAAATCACCTCTTTTTCTCTTGTTCTTACACACTTAATGGCTGGTCCTCCTTATTCTAGATCTTCAACATGCAATGGATTTTTGACAAAGAAGCAAGTAAGAATGTTAATCAGTTACTAATTGGCCCATTCTTACTGGCCAAGGCCGATTTTTTATGGATTAATACGGTTAAATCCGTAACCTCAGAAGTTTTGAAGACAATAAAAAATCTTGGGTGGAATGTTTTGACTTAGCCATTTACAAAGCTTCACAATGGTGCTCTTTTTCCAATTTATTTTTTCATCATTATATTTGTTTAAATTGGGAGGCTTTCAATTTCTCATTAGATTACTGTTTTTTTCTGGATTTCCCATTCTTTTTCAATCTTAAAGTGAGTTTATATCTACTGAACATTTTTGTATATTTTCATTATATCAAAGTTTCTTGTACAATAAAAACAGGGCTGTCTATCGCAATTAGCAAACCAGACAATTTGACATGATCAATACAATCCTGATGAAGAAACAATATGAGGGTGAAAATGCTCCGATGCTATATATTATACCGAAATTCAAACTCAGCCTAATTCATAACGTTACCTTATGACTACCGGCTAGTACAACAAAAGGAACAGCATGCCTTTTAGCTGCAAGGGCAACCATATTCAACCCAACAGGTGCCGTGACACCACCATTTGCCATGACAGCATGAGCTCCAATTATTACCTTGCAGAACAGATTTGAAAATGAAGCTATCAGTTCTCATGTGCATCCCATTTCATGCAAAGATTGAAAGAATGCGTATTTATACATGTATACACACTACAGCTACCACCTACCATATTCACCCGGGAGATCATGGCAAAAACTGCAGAATCAGTAATCAGTGTGGTTTGTAAACCTCTTGTAACCAACTCCTTAGCAAGCAGATGACCCTGATATCTGTGGTAACATTCAAAACAGACAAGCCATAGACTTAACAAAAAATATCTAAGTGTAATATAAATCTGCATCCTAACATACAGCTAGCTATTAGCACATACCTTGGAGCACCCTCAGCAACAAACACACGGAAGGACCTTTTCTTCTCCTTAGCAGCACAAAGAAATTCCAAAACTGTTCGGGAACTCCCCAGAGTTAATATTACCTCGCTGAAAAGTGGTATTCAATATACATTAGGATATTGAGGTAAATTCTTAAAGATGAAATTCTAAATTATAATTTCATATATGAAAGTCCTCTAAGTTCCAACTGCATATTTCAGATGAAGCCAGAAACACTGAACAATGCTAGTAAATCCAGTGTTTTCGAGGCGCAAGGTCACCTCAAGGCGACAAGCCCTTAGATCGCCTTAAGGCGAGAGGCGATAAAAAGGCGACGCCTAAGTGAAGCAAGGCGCACCTTTATTTATATATATATATATATATATATATATATATATATATATATAAAATTCCAAAGTTATAATAGATTAAATAAGATTAATCAGTAAATATATCAAGTAAAATAAAGAAGCGTGTTTTAAAACATTAAAACATTAAAAAAATAATTTAATATTTAAATAAAAGTTCACTTAAATTAACAAATAAAAATTTTAATAATTTAATATTTAAATAAAAGTTCATTTAAGTTAAAAAATAAAAATTTTAAAAGTTTTTATATCGTAAAACGCAATGGCAATAACCCATTTAAGCTGCCATCTGTTTATTAGTCACCATGCATGGCACTAGCACTAAATGTTCTTGAAAATAATACCATGCATGACCCTCATTTAATGCTTCTTGAAAATGTAATTCTGGCTTTTGCTTTTCTCCCACTTTTCTTATTTTTCTTCTCTTTGCATCTGAATCTTCTTCTTCCTAATTTCGACACTTCTTTTTCCTTCCACTCTTCTACTTTTCATTCTTCTTTCTTCGACCTTTCATTCTCCTTCCATCCTAATGTTTTTCCTTTTAATTTCGACGATCGACAGAGGCAAATAGTTGCCGGCAAAGACAAAGAAGGTGAACCAAAAACAAAGAAGCTGTCAAGGAGAATTTGGATAATTTTTAGGGTTTTTCATTTGAGGTGAGCTTGTTGTGCGCCCGCCTTCAACACGGCGATCGCCTTGCCTCAGGCGAGAGGCGAGCAAAGGCACGCCGAGGCGCGCCAAGGCGAGCGCCCGGTTGAAGGCGCTCGCCTGGGCACGTTGCAAGGCGCACCTGGGCGAAATCGCCTCGCCTCTCGCCCGAGGCGAGCGCCCGGGTGCGCCTCGAAATCACTGAGTAAATCAAATACAAACTTATGCAGTTGAACACATATTGGAGCTAATTTAATAATAAAAAGAAGAGCCGAAGGGCATGATCAACAAAAATGTTGAATGCCTTACACACAACTCTTTCCTGTATATTCCCTCAGACCCACAACCTCTAATAGTTTTACATAAGACAATCCCGATCGTTATTCATATACCATGCATTACATCCCACTATTCGCTTATCCAACACCCCCTCCTGTTAGTACATGTTGAACTCACTGATAGGTCAAAGGTTTCTATCAATCCCCACCACCCAAACTTTCACCTTGCCCTCCAGGTAGAAAGCAGGGACCTGGTTATTGATGAGATAAAAGGCTTCCCATGTAGTTTCCTCAAGTTGCTGTCCAACCCACAGAATCAACACCTCCAAGCCATGTGCTGGATCTGATTGTGATAGGCAAAACCCCCCAAAGCAGCAGTAGGCACGATGGAGAACTCAAGCTTAGGACTCATTTCAGCTGATAAGTGGTTGGACAGCAAGTTTCCTAGCCTGGAGTTGGGAAGCATGGAATATTGGGTGAATTCCTGAAGTAGATGGTAGTTGCACCTTGTATGCCGCCTTTCAAATCCTTTCCAAGGACCTTGGCAGCATTTGATTAGCCATTTAATTAGTTGACCAATCTCCGTTGGAGACTCTACATTCAGCAGCCATCACTTTCCTCCATACAGGGTACTCTTCCCAAGTAAATCACCACAGTTGTTTTGTCAAAAGAAAGATTTTTCAAAGGTTTCCAAAATCAAGACCAAAAGAAATGGGTTAGTTGACCTTGTACCACCTAACCAAGGTGAAAGCCTCCTTCCTTGTTGCGGCCTTCCTAGTAAAAATATATCATAGATTTTACAATGATGAAGACATCGTTTGGGGCACAAAAAAAGTGGGAATGGGTTGGAAGGTTTGAGGGAGAAGCTTGGATGAGGGTTAACTATGAACTTTTTAGGGACTAATATTTTCCAGATTAACAACTTGCTTTGAATAATTTCAGAGGTTGAAGATCCACACTAATATTTTCCAGATTAACAACTTGCTTTGAATCATTTCAGCGGTTAAAGTCCAAAAGTGGATGCTCTTTGGGTTACCATTTTGAGGGAGACCAAAGTTGGGGATTGGCCAAGAGTCAATACTGCAACCCATAATAGAAGCCAGCTCTTGAACTTCAATAGCTTCACAATTGATACTTAATACCTTTATTTGTTCGTATACTTTTTTTTATTAAGAAACAGAGAAGGAGCGTATGAATGATAGCTACAAAATAAGACAACCTATGGATCGGGGAAGAGTTTTTTTTTTTTTCTTATAAGTTTGTGTTTTAATTTTAATTTATTTTGGCTTTGTATTTTTCATATGAATTTTTAAGAGTAAATTTTAGTCTGGCTGCTTTTATTGCTTTGTTTTGGGGTCCAAAAAACTTTCTGTAGAAAGCAATCTTTTGTACTTGATGTTGTTTGCTTACATGTATTTTTTAATTTTTTTATAACGGAGAGTCGGAGCTTTGCTCCCCTATACTCAAGGGCACCTGCACCCACCCCAAGGCTCGGACCTAGGAGACATCAAAGGTTCTAGGTATCAAACTCACCGAAAGGTTCGAACTTGAGATCTCTAAGCCAATATGACCAAGAGATCCTAAGCCCTTGCCAACTAGGCTACCCTGGGGAACATACCCATTTAAAAATTAATCCCAGTAATAATTTGAGATCAACAATCTTGAAAGATTGAGGAACTTATCCTTCCAGGCAGAAGATAAAAGAATCTTTCTGCTAGGTTGCTTTTCCAACTTTGAAGGCACCAATAGTAGACCTTCATGAGACGTCTCCTAAAACAATTTGTCGCAAGGATAAAAATAAGGGAAGAAGGGTCTCCTTGTCTAATCTATCTGGAAGGTTGGATCTTACCATTTGGCTTACCATTTCTAAAAATATAAAATTTTGAGTTAGTGGGGCAAGCTACAATCCAAACCCTCCGATATGTGAAGCTTTCGATATAAGGGGCAATCTAAAGAGCAACTTATCAGAACGGAAATAAAACACATGATAAAAACAGATGACAAGTTTTGCATAAGGACCCCTTGAGTACGATATAGTAATTAGGATACATTAAAAATACTTCCCAAAGTTAATAACCCTATACTGGTTCAGTAAGTCATAAACCAGATGGTCCAATCCAAATCAATATGATATCAAGGACACAAAAAAACAGGTTAGCTTACTAAAATTAGATTAACATGAGATATACTTTTGATGGATGTGTTCCACTGCTTGCTCAGCAATCTGTTCGTGACAAGTTGCAATATCTTGAATGAGTTCATTAACAGCTTCAATTACATCGTGCTTGAGTTTCCGACTCCTCGAACTCTTATCAGCAGCTGTTAGAAAGAAAAACTTGCATTCCAAATGAAAAAAATAATAATAAATAATAAAATGAAAAGAACCACTCTACATTTAACTAACAAATAGAAATAAATGGACAAATAAGATAATGTTGAAACACACACATGCACAGAGTGTACATTTTCCAAATAGACTTTTGTTCAAGAGAATTAGAAAGAACATAACACTATCATTTATCAGGGACCCTACTTCCTACTAAAATCAAAAGAGAGAGCAATGAGCAATAACCAACGAAGGAGGTGAATAGTTTCCAGTATAAAAGATCCATGGATGCTACAGGTTCCCTTATTATGCCTTATCGCTAATTCCCTGAAGAGTCTAAAAATGGATCCTACTCCATATAATCTCACTTGTTCAAGTACTTTTTTTTTAATCAGAAACAAAGAACATTATGATGTTCTTTATCGTTACAGGTTCCCTTATTATGCCTTGTCGATAATTCCCTGAACTGAAGAGACTAAAAGTGGATCCTGCTCCATATAATCTCGCTTATTCAAGTACATTTATTTTTCTTTTGATCAGAAACAAAGAACATTATGATGGAATCACCAAAAAATACAGCCTAGGAGTGGGTGTAGAGAGAACCCCTCCTAAGAGACCACTAGTTTATATAAAAGCCTTCCAATTTCAAATGATCATAGATAGACTATAATTACAAAGTAAACTATTCCTCATCAATCATATTTTTCCTTTAAATCTAAACAGCTGGATCTCCAAGTATTCATATAAAGGCATTGCAACCAAAAGGGGTCTTAAATCCCAATTTACTCTAAGAGGAAAGAATCAGAACTTTCCAAGGGCATAATTATGAAGCTATATATACATATAAATTTCAACTCCCCAAAAATTATTTTTCATGCCTAAAAGTTAATATATATAATATCCATTAGAAGTTGAAGAAGCCAATAATTTTCTAAATAAATGTTTGACAATAATATTTTCCTTTTATATCCATGAGTGTCCAGGCTTGCTAACGTGCACATCAACTAATCTCAACTAATCTCACAGGAGAACCAATTGACCCTATTACATTTGATTCCAAAGGTAGGTAGACACCATGATTTGAACTCACTCCCATAGTAGTTGAATGTAACAATAAGATTTGACAAAGAAATCCAAAATCAAACAAACTTTTCCAAACGATTTCGAAATTCTATTAGAAAAGAAAATACATAACCAAATATGTCAATATACTTATTTGTTCAAAACCAAACAACAAAGAAACTTTTATCTCATTCCCCATGACACATTTTTGCGGAAGCTTGCTGTGCTTTCTTAAAAGCAAAGCTTGTATTTTGGATAATCACACAACAACTTCAGCCAGAAAAATCAGTAAAAATTTTGGATGTCACAATCAAATACCTTCGAGGACATCATAGACCTTACTAAGTAAGAAGCATGCAAAATACTAATCAGCATAAAACAAGGAAGCTTACATTTGCTTTTTCCTTCTGAATCACCTCCAGATGATGAAGTTTGATGGATAGATGTTTGGTTAGGAACGTCCTCAAGAAGAGTTTGCAAGGAAGGTGGCCGCAGAGCGCTTCTTGCAGCAGCTGCAACAGCAGCGGCTGACAGGGCCGGGCAATCATCTTTTTCAATGTCATCCTCATCATCACTAACTGCTGATAAGCTCAACCCAGCAATAGCAGCTGTGGTGAGAGAGAGATCCTCCTCTCTAATAATGTGCAAAACACGCCTCACAATATTACCCACAGCAAGCTCTGCAGTTGTACATTATCATATTAATGCAAATGAAGAGACTAAAAAATTAATAGATTTAAACCTAATAAACATGGCCACAACCAAATGGTGATAATTGGAATATATATACAAAATCGAGGCATGAGGCTAATGGTGATAATTGAGACGTGAGTAACAATTCATTTTGAGCCTGAACAAAGAACCAGCCACAAAAATATATTAAATTTTTGTAAAAGGGTAAAAACCAAAAACGAACATCCACCATATTTCATGAATTTTAGCCCTGAGATAATATTAAGAATGAAATCCTCGTCAACAACCAATCCAAGTTTAAACATTAAGTCATCATTAACAAAAGCCAATAAATCAATATATGTACCAACAGGATTCGCAGCAATCAGCTGCTCGCCAACAGCTTTCACAGCATCAATCAAAGCGGCAGCCTGATTCGTGTAGGGTATTCGCTGCTGCGAAATGACTGAACGAAGCAATTCAGCTGTAAGCTTCGCAGTGGCCAGGGAGCCCTCGATTTTACTGCCACAATATC